AAATTAACGATAATCTTACATTTTTATATGAGAATAGAAGTCGGTTTTGTTTTTTGATTAAAAATTGCTTCTTTAATCATTAACTTGTTTACTCATAATTAATTTAAAAAGAATTGGCATCTTGGCGGGATCTTGCACTTGGTATTAAAATTCATTGAATTTATTATTAAGAATTTTCTTCATTTAACACAACAAAAATTTGTTTATGGTATTCACTAGTCAATTGTCGGCCGCTGTGGTGTAGCGGTAAGCAGTGCGCGCTTCCACTCCGCAGCACCTGGGTTCAAGCCCTGGTCAAAGCAACATCGCATAAAAACATAGAAAAAATGTTTTTTTCTTAACAGCGGTCGTCCTTCGGCAGGCAATGGCAAGCCTCCGAGTGCATTTCTGTCATGAAAAACAGCTTCTCATTAGAACACAATCGCCGTTCGGAGTCTGCGTAAAACTGTAGATCCCTCCGCTTTGTGTGACAACATCAAGGCGCACGCCACAAATCGGAGGAGAAGCTCGGCCAAACACTAACATATGTGTAAGCGCCAATGTATTATTATATTATTATTATTATTCACTACTCAATATCCTTAATTTAAAGCCCACATGAGGGCATTGGAAAAAATGAAATGTAATCCGCCATTTTGTGTTGGGGGTCTTCTTGGATTTGGGACATGTTCAAGGTGTCCTGTCTTCTACTAGTCAAGCCATTTCATTTAATACCCATATTGGAGAGTTGTAAAAAAATATGGAGGGAGTTGTAAAAAAATAAGTAGTTCGGCGTTATGGAATACTATATTTTGTACGTACGCAACGCAATTGATGTTAAGGAAGTAAGCCTAAGGAAATGTTAGTTTGCTTTTTCAAAGACGTTAGGTACTACTGCTATTTATCAAAATACCAAACGAAAATTTTTTGGTATATTGTAGAAATAAGTATAAAAACTAAAAAACGAGTCTTCTTTTGAGTATACATAATTTTTTTTTGTTTCTTCAAACAAGTTAAGTATTATTGCTATTTATTAAAGTTATTTCAGTTTAAAGGTATATTTAGAGAAATGTCAAAAGTTAAAAAAAAACTAATTCAGGAACAACTAGAAATCTTAAAACTTTTAGCATTTAAGAGGTTCTAAAGAAAAAATGAAAAAAATTTGTTTTCTTCTAAGGGCGTGTGTGAATCGGTAACAAAGTTCTATGGGGAAAGCTGTTTAATAATATTTTTACTATGGTGAGACAGTTTTCCAATCTGCTGTGTGAAATTAAATCTTTTTTGACAGCAGTAAATTTTTGATAACCGTAGATTTATGCGGCATAAAATATTACGAATTGATGTGAAATTAATATATTAAGAAAACATCTACCATCGTTGATTGCAGTTCATATTTAAGCTTTTATTTAACGAAAAATTACACACATCAACAATCTTTGCGATTTTCAAATTTTCTATTCATTTGTCAAAAATTTCACTAGCCTCATAAGCTACTGAAATTGTATTCACCTCATAGTTGTCAAAAATTTGCTCGCCGAGAACTTTGTTACCGATACACACACGCTCTAAGAAACTAAAAAATGCCAAATGAAATTTTTAAACATATAAACCCTGTAAATTTGAAGAAAATCAAAGGTGGCCTTCGTGAGAAACATTTTTTTTAGTTTTTTCATAAAATCGTATTACTTATTGTTATCGTTTATTAACATTTTTCACTTTTATTGATCAATTAAAAAAGAGTGCAAAATATGGAGACAAGTAACCAAAAAATATACGCAAACGTCAAAGCTGTGAAGCTGTGTTTTTTGTGATCTGCTTAAATTTTGTGTGTTTATAAAGCTGTTTACGCTTAAAAAAGTAAAAAATTAATAAGTATAAGTAATAAGTAAAATATCAAAATTTCGTGTAAATTTGATTGATTTAACTTGATATTCTTAATTGCATGTGCCGAGTATTCGAGTTTCACATAATATATTGTTGTTGTACAATTGTTTTTGTTTGTGTACATTGTGTACACTTTGATCTTTTTGTCTTCTTTTCATTTCTGCTGTTTCATCTTTGTCACAGCTGTTTGCGTTGTGTTTATTAGGTGTCTTATATACAGTGCATTTAAAACTGTTCGCTACATAGCTTTCCAACTGATATTTACCAGCTGATTGGTTCTCTGTTTGGTACATCGTTTTCAAAACTGTTTTGCTTTTTTGCTTCTAAAACCTAAAAATTAAATATTATTTTAAACATGTCGTGCATTTACACTAATTGCCACGTTAAAAGCGACTCCTATGTGTCATGCTGCCTCTGCGATAGGACTGCCCATATAAAATGTGCTGGTTTGAGCGCTAGGGTATTAGACGCTATTAACGAAGGAAAGGGTCTGGTCTGGTTAAAAATGTGGATCAACCGAAGTTGATTTATTTAAATTCTTTAGGCAGTCCGGAAATGGTTTTTCTGAGATTGGGAAGGATCTGTCGGTGCTTGTTGAGAAATTTAAGCATTACGAAAAAATGTTTAGGTCTTTCACATGTCTCGACGTGTGGAGGGTCCACATTCTGAGGATAGCTGAGAAAGTAAAGGTAGGCGTCTTATTAGTCCACCTGAAAGACAGCCACTGAATCTCACAAAAATCCTCCATCCCAGTCCTTCGAACTTATTAACCCTCTAGTAGGCCAATTTTTTTATGAGTTGAAAAATTCAGGAATGGGTGATTTTAGCACGAGAGATCCAAAAATTATGTCCATTTCGATCTGTGACAGTAACTTTTTCCTAGAGGGGAGAAAAAACCAAGACCGTCTGGAGATGGGCTCGCCGGTATACTTACACATATTTTCAGCTTTCTCTTACACAATGTTGACCTACGAACCGGCAATCCCGTCTGCAGATGGTCAAAAATGCAAAACTGGGGTTTTATATGTCGGCAAGCCGGTCTGTAGACGGTCTGTGTTCGAAAGCAATTTTCTCCATTTCGAATGGTGATATAATTATAAAACTTATATTAAAACACGGTGCTTTTAACAGCGAAATCCACTGAATTTTTTTATATCAAAAAAATTTTTCAAAAGAAAAAATTTCTTTAACTACGAAATTACTAAATAGCAAGAAATAATTAATTTTAACCGTGTTTTCAAAATCTGTAATTCAACTACCGATTAAAATAAAACGGATTGACTTAACGGATTCAAATTTACACCACCGTAAAGGTACGATTTTTGTCTAAAGATCGTGCCTTACGAATATAGAAAAAAATTATTATAGGTGCACTAAAAAGGTGTTTAGTTAAGGACCGTCTGGAGGCGGTTCAGCCTACTAGAGGGTTAATCTATCTTCTACATGCCCTCAGGCATTGGAGCCTCCGATATCTAAAGCCATATCCACTAGGTCTATTTCTAAAAATAGTCAAACCGTTGATTTAACAGTGTTGCCATCAACATCTCAAGCTGCTCTGTCTAACTTAGCTCCTCCGAATAATTCGGAGCACCGCACATCAGACATCATTACCAAAAAGTTGGTTGTAATTCCTCCGAGAAGATCAATCTTTGTCTCTACATTTGCTAAAGATACTTCTTCGGATGATATAAAGTCATACATATCGACTAAAATTAGAACTAGAGATGTATTTATTCGTAAATTTAATTTTAAATACGATCGCGATATTTCATCTTTTAAAATTGATGTAGCTTCCGAAGATTTTGATTCACTACTAAATACTTCATTTTGGCCGACCGGGGCGTTTGTTCGCGAGTTTGAGTATAAACCTAATAAAAGTACTAATAACGTAGTTAAAATTTCTAATCTTAATTCGGATTCAAAAAACTAACACGCAAGTCTAATTTAAGTATTTACTATCAAAACGTTGGAGGTTTGAATACCAAATTAACTGACTTATATTTAAAAGGTTTTGACTGAAATTATAATATTATTTCCTTGACCGAAACATGGCTCAAACCTCATATTTTTAATTCCGAAAATCTTCCAAATGAATATCAAATATACAGGAGTGACCGCGTGGGCAGAATCGGCGGTGGTGTTCTTTTTGCGGTGCATTAACCGATACCATCCGAGGAAGTTCGTCTTCCTGTCATTGAATATACCGGATTTAAATGTATACGGGTACAGGCTGGAAAGACATATTTATTTAGCTCTCTGCTACATCCCTCCTAATTCTGCCGTATCAGTATATATGCAGCTAGTTTCTTTACTTGAGACCGCAAATGCAAATGCTAACAGCATCCGATTCTATGATTGTTTTGGGCGATTCAAATCTATCACACATTTCATGGAACATCATCGACACCGATGTTGTACCAGTTTCATCTAGAGATAGTTACAATGTATTTCTGGAGGAAATGGCTGAACTTTGCCTTAAACAAGAGCAACTAAATAGCTTAAAAATTATTGAAACTGTAAAACTGTAGGTCACTCCGCTTTGTGTGGCAACATCAAGGCGCACGCCACAAATCGGAGGAGAAGCTCGGCCAAACACTAACATATGTGTAAGCGCCGATCTATTATTATTATTATTAATGCTATGAAAATTTAAAAAAATACGTGTTCATTTATTTTTCAAGTAGAAAAACATATTTTAATCTGAATGTAATTCGTGTGCACCATCGGACTGCCTGCATGTTTTGAAATGAATCCAGTCTAAACGATTCGGTTATTCGTTCAACTTTATGAACGAAAGGTACAAGGGTTTGTCGTTAGTTTATGACTATAGAGCGAGCTACAGATGCATTCAGTTACAAGTAGCCGGTCAATTAAGCACATGAGGTATGAAGTGACTTAAGCCACTTTCAAAGTAAACAGCTCAAGTATGTATATTCGAACACATATTTAAGACCTAAAAAATCCAAATTCTTAGCATTCCGAGAAAGGCAAAATACATCCATAAGTATTTAATCAATTCTCTTAATGCTGCTTGATGTTTCATGATAACTTTTTCTACAGTTATTGAACGAAAATTTATATTTTTGCATATTTTTCACATTTAGCAGTTTATTAAAAAAACATTAAATTACTTTCAGATGCGGCAATCAATAACAGCTCTCCAGTAGATGATAAGGACCAAAATGAACTTGAATCAATCGAATACTCCGACAAGTAAGTGCATATAAATTTCCTGCAGAAGTTTTGCAAATTAGCACCGATCGCAAAAGGCGAATAGGTTTTTTTATTTCGGCCAAATTATTTATTAAACTGTTTTCTGGGCTGGAGCCGCTTTGGGAAGCCGTTTTCCATGGCAGAAATACATTCAGAGGTTCTCCATTGCCTGACGAAGGGTGACCGCTATTAGAACAAGTAAGAAAGTCTAAGTTCGGGCGGAGCCGAACATTAAATACCCGGCGCAAGTATTAAATATATGTTTTCCACCTTTCCGAAAGCTACCGCTACACGATAAGCCGGCGTGTATAAATTTTAAGTAAACTAGCGTCCTTAAATTTCAAAATATTGAAATTTCAAGCATTTCTGAAATTTACCGTTATATGAAAAGCGGCCGTAATTTTAGTCCGATTTCAACAATTTTCAATGATTTACTTTTATGTGGCAAGCACAATAACCATACCGAGTTTGGTACAAATTGCTAGAACGGTTAGCGAGATACATATACGTGATCATAAGTGGGCGGTGCCACGCCCATTTTCCAAAATTTTATCATAAACGTATTTCCTGGCAAAGAATTGTTGCAACCATCATTTTGAATAAATTAGCTTTAATATTTACTGATTTATCGAGGATTTCGTATTTCTCGAAATTACCGTTATATGGGATGTGGGCGTGGTTATTGTCCGATTTTAAAAATTTTCGGCCATTTGGTATGCTGTACCAGGGCCAACAACTGTGCCAAGTTTCGAATAAATTGATGCAGCGGTTACCAAGATATACACATGTAACCATAAGTGGGCGTGGCTACGCCCATTTTCAAAAAAATGTTAATATTCTTATTTTTCGTCTAAAATTTATTATAAATATCAATTTTGAGTGAATTATCTTCAGTAGTTACTAAAATATAGCAGTTTTTGTATTTCTGAAAATTACCGTTATATGGGAGGTAGGCGTGGTTATTGTACGATTTTGCCCATTTTCAATACCATCCGTCCTACGACCGAAAGAAGTACGCGTACCAAGTTTCGTTAAGATATCTTAATTTTTACTCGAGTTATCGTGTGCACAGACGGACGGACAGACGGACGGACGGACGGACAGACAGTCACCGCTTAATCGATTTCTCTTTTCATTCTGATCATTTATGTATACATATGTCTATATCTATCTCGATTCGTTTTGCCTGTTACAAACAACCGTTTTGTGAACAAAGTTATAATACCCTTGTGCACAAGTGCGCTCGGGTATAAAAAACGTTTTATTTTGTTTTTGATGTTAGTCCAAAACTGGGCTCGATCCCAAGCCCTGCTGAATGGTAGTGGGCACTTCTAACCACTATACTACAGCAAAATAAGTTTTTTATAAATATTTGAAATTGTCGGTTGTTGGATTATGAATTTGAATATTGAGGCTGTATAAACTAGCCTTTTCAAGACCGCCCGAAAAGACCACCGTACAATAATATACAGGGCTTTTCACACGATAAAAGCGGTTTCAAGTACCGGAAAAATTCTGGTATTAATAAAATATAAGACAGTTTTCTTTGTATGCATCAGATCCTCTCCCGTCCATAAAAACCTGAATTCAGACGGTCTGAAAATACTAGTATATTCACCCCGATAACATAAAAAGTGATATAAGGGCCAGGTTTTCAGTGCAAGTTTAAACTTATATCAATGCATTTATCTTGAACAGGCTGGTTGACATTTGATTGGATAATATTAGTTTAAACCAGCCATCTCGAGCATTTAAACTAAGTTTCGACTACCATTGTTCTCGTTTTATATCGCTGCTTTTTTTGAGTTGATTATTAGCCTTAGCTATAATAAAACAAGAATTTTTAGCGGCGATAATTAGTTATTATTTAACCAAGTTTGCAAAAATAAAAGTTTTAATAAGCGTTTTGTTGTTAAGCGGTTGCGTTTCTTGGTGGCTGTAGCACCAACTTCTAACAAAAGGCTCTCAGTAGGCATCGAGGTACCAACTAAATGACAGTATTTTTTCGAAAGGCAAAAATAATCAATTAATTTAATCAAATGATTAATCGTTGCCATCCCTAGACACAATGGTCAACCAGGGCCGAGAACTGAAATGAACAATCAGGTTTATGGGAGCTATAAGTTATAGTGGACCGATTTTGACGGTTTCGCCAAATGATTAATACATTATAAAAATACACTCGCTTACCAAATTTTGGTCGGATATCTCGCAAACTGAGGGACTAAATTGCGTTCAAACAGACAGAGAGATGAACTTGGCTGAATCGACTCAGCTCGACGTTCTGATCATTTTGTCAAACATTTATGTGGGTCCATATCTTCCTCTTCTGGTACTTACAAACATTTGGCCAAATTTATAATACCATTGCATGTTCATAAAAGGTAAAAATAATGATGGAAAAATCATACGTTCGCGACCGGTACTTAAGCTTATAAATAAAAAACTAATAGCGATATTTCAACGCGCAATTAGTTAATAAATTATAGCCCTAGAATATTGTTCCATTTCGTAGTTTCTTGCATTTTTAATTTGCAGCCACAAGCTACTTCCATTATTACTCGTACGTTCGCGACCGTATGTTTGTTGCTTACATATTGAAAAATAAAAATCGAAAGATCATCCCTTTTGCACCAAATATATAGCAAAATGCTATCGAAACAAAAAATATATATATATATATAATGTTATGTTTTCATTGCTTTTTGACTTCAAAAGCGTACGAACGTACGATTCGCGACCGCTGGAAATGCCCATAAACCTATACTTTATTTTATGTCGTCCTGCTGTCTTGAAGTAAATATGTACTGCGTAAATGTTATTTATTCCTATTCCTGTGCCTACAGCTGAACGATCATTTTCGAAACTAAAATTAATAAAAACCTATTTGAGAAACTATGGGCTACGTACTTGGCTATTCTATCTATTGAAAATTCTATGGCCCTATCTTTAAACTTTGATGATGTCATAGATTCTTTTGCGGAACAGAAATATCAGAGAAAAGAAATTTTATTAATAAATATCTTAACTGCCCTCAGCAGTATAAAAATCAAAGCGTGATCGCGAAAAATACCTAAGTAAACAATAAGACATCAAAATAAATAAATTATTATCAGGTTACCTGGTTAAAAATAACTTTTCTGTAGTGTATTTTATTATTGTAAACTGAATAGAAAATCCTATTAGTAATCCCCGAAAATCGGTTTAAAAAATCTGGATATTTCTTTACTCTAAAAACCACATGCATTGCTTTTGGTAGTTAACTTTAAATTTGGGGTATTTTGGCAGGATCGTACTCTACTCAATACGTATACAAAGCTGGCTATGCGTAACCGAACGAAAGTGTTTTGTCTATGAGAAGTTCCCTGGTGGCAACAATGATCCGGATCTATAGTGAATGTGCCCTAGAAACTTGTTCAGCAGAAATCAATATACATACATAGACTGAGATGAAATACCTTAAAAGCCAGTTTCACAAAAGCAATTTAAGTGAAAAATGATTTTTTATGTCGGGTTCTATATTGAATCCAATTAAAAAAATAAATTTTTATTAAACTGCTTTCATGAAACTGGCTTTTCAGGTATTTCGACAGGTGGTGATTTGAGATTTATCACTGCACAACTCAACCCTGGTGTCTCCGAATGAAGCTTTAACGCATAATAATATGGGCAAATCACATCTATTGGGCCAATCGTAACACACGAGAGTTCGATATACTCAATGGTGCAACAGGTCGATTTAGTCTGACATTCACGGCACCTTTTTTAACTTGTCGATTTTTAGTAATAACTCGAGCTCAGAACCACCTGGCAGCTCATTTTTGCAATTGCGCTACCTTTACCGTTTCCAATACATGTTTTGAATATTCGCTAAATTGGATCATAAAAAATATGTTTAGTAATAACTCAACTCCAGTGCCAACTGGCGGATTAAATCGTTAAGCTAAACTATCCAGAAACCCGCTCAAACACACACACAAAACTGCGTTAAAATCCCTCCAGGCATTTAGGATTTCACTCACAAATATACCTACAGAAGAATTATATATACATTCAAAGATGAGTAAAAGTCAGTAGGTTTATACTTTGCCAAGTCCTCTTCTCAAAGAACCCATTTTTTCTCAATGAGTATGGGATTGATTTCATATATCTCCATACGAAGTGTTCCAGTACAGTACCATGAACACTTCCAGAGATATGCAGTATGAAATTCGGCTTGTGTGGTAGGTGCCACGAGCCCTTTTCCAATAGCTCCATATTTTCTCGCATGGCTACGCGATTAATTTCATATATCTCCACACAAAGTTGTAGAGATATGCAATAAAAGATTCGACTTGTATGGGAGGTGCCACCCCCGTATAAAGTTCCAGTACTCTACCATGACCACTTTCAGAGATACTTATTATGGGAAGCGCCACGCCCCGTTTTCAAATAGTCCGAATTTTTCTTCATCTCCATACCAAGTTTTAGTACTCTACCATAAACATTTCCAGAGGTTTGCAGTATGAAAAATTCGGTTTGTATAGGAGGTGCTACGTCCCCTTTTCAATATCTCCAATTTTTCTCCAGGAGTATGCGATCGATTTCATATGCACACGTCAACACCAAGTCCCAGTACTCTACCATGAACACCTCCAGAGGTTTGCAGTATGAAAAATTTGGTTTGTATGGGAATTGCCACGCCTCCTTTTTCCAAAGCTCCAATTTTTATCCAAGAGTATGCGATGGATTTCATATATCCCCATACCAAGTTCCATCACTCTACCATGAACATTTCCAGAGATATGCAGTATGGATATTCGGTTTGTATGGGAGGTGCCACGCCCCCTCTTCCGATTTTTTGTTTTTTTTTCATTCTCTTTATTTAAAATCTGTCGTTTGAAAATGAGTAAATGGAAATAGTATCTTTTATTAACGTTGATGCATTAATTGCAATTTGTCCTTTAAATAGGTTAATAATTGTATTTTGGAATCCAAGTAACATTTTAATTCAGGTATTT